AACCTGATTAGGAATAGCTCTGGTATTTAGCAAGTTATACTAGTTTAAAAACTAGAACTTTTAAGAACATATTTTTTTCATGTCACCCCTCTGTAAGTCATTTACACTTTACAATAGCAGGAATGAAGAGCGATGTAGATATACTTAAAGATGGTGTGAAAGCCACGAGGGATCAGGAAGACGGAGAATTGCTTGTGTATTCTTGTGGGCACAGCGCATTTTGACCAAGCTCCAAGAGAAGACAACTGTGGAAGTAAAGTAATCGTACATTCCATCATTCTAAGTCTATGCATCTAAGACACTGAGCATTTCTTCTACACTCTGGAACTTTTCTCTTTGCTTCCCCTTCGCCTTGCCATTCTCTCGCTCGGCGTCATCAATCCTTTTCCAGTCCGCCCAACTGAGCGGTCTGACGCCTTTGCTTTCTACCGCTGCCCTAAGAGCCTCCCATCCCAATTTGGTGCCTTCATTCTCATCATTGATATCATTCAAAAAGGGCACACCAGCCTCCCAGTCTTGAGCAATAATATCCGCAGAGGAAAAGGCGTCCTGCATGGTGCTTGCAATTACACCAGTTGGTCCACGTTTAACCCAGCCTGCGCAGTACAGACCAGAAACATGGCCGGCTGTCAAGTTCCCTGGGCCAGCCGAAGGGGTAATGACACGCCCATGCATGTCATTTGGGATTATGCCCAGCTTATTATCAAAAGGGACACCAATGGCTGAGAGTCCAGGAAGAGCAGCCGACTTGTAGCCTACAGATCTAAAAGCTAAAGATGCTTCGATTGATGTCTCATCCTTTGTAGACACAACACGAGTCCTCTGGTCGAAGGGATCGCCATCTGGTACAAATTGTTGCTTTGTGAATGTTATCGAGGAGAGATGACCGTCAACTTCATGCATGGCTTTGGGAGCCTGCAAAAAGTCGAGCGCCCATGACCGTGTAGCCTGCTGTGCAGGAGTTGCCGAGCCCTTGAGAAGTACTTCTGCAATGCGTTTCTGGACGCGTGGGAGCTTTTTGATGTCGGCGGGATACAGGGAGCGGTCGATAGGTTCAAAGGCAACGGATGGTATTTGCATGAGCTCACGGGCTTCTTTGACGGTGAAGGCAGCCTTGATTAAGTGTCAGATGTGTGTTGCCAGCACCGCTGTCACAACGTACCTGTATGGGACCACGTCTACCAACGACGCGCACAGACCGGACCTTGCTCTCAGACAGCGCCTGTATGGCCTGATCGGCAATGTCTGTACTGCGTAGCGCGTCTACCGGACTCAACAAAATGCGCGCCACATCTAGTGCAACATTTCCTTGGCCGATGACGACGGCCTGCTCACCAGCATGAAGGTTTGGCTCCAGGTGTTGGAACTGCGGTAGACCATTGTACCAGCCAACGAAGGATCTGGCAGAATAGACGCCTGGCAGATTCTCTCCGGGGATGCCCAGCTGTCTATCCTCGGTTGCGCCATACGAGAACAGGATAGCATCGTAATGGGGCTTCATGTCTGCTAGCTGCATATCATAGCCGACCTTGACGTTGCCAATGTAGTTGAATCGCGGTGAGCGGGCAACCTCTTCAAAGGTGTCTTGACAGTTCTTGACCTCTGGGTGATCGGGTGCAACACCGTATCGGACGAGTCCATAAGGGACGGGGAGTTGCTCATACATGTCGATGACGGCATCTTGGTTCTTGTTCATGAGACGGTAGGCAGTATAGAACCCTGCGGGACCCGAACCGACAATAGCAAGGCGGAGGCGACCTCGCGTGCTCGATACTGTGCTGTACTCATGGCGGAGAGAAAAGCGTAGGGCATGGGCAAAAGAAGGCTGACACGCTACCGACAGCTGTAATGGAACAGCACTACTGCGTGTGACATGTGGGCGTGTGGCAGTGAGGTGGGTCAATTGCGGCGGTGTATTCGTTATTCGTCGTGTACAGCTAGCACAGACACGAGGCGTTCCCAAGTGTTGTGAAAGGAACATGGTGTGAAGGTCCTTGCGGTGGGTAGCGTCAATCAATGCCTGTCCCAAGACATGTGCGGATGACTAAGCCTACGAATCACATGCGTGCAATCATATGCACCCTATTGTAGCCTCATCCAACAGAACATCAGATGGGAACCATGCACATCCATCCAAACATCCGCAACAACGTACCAACATATGCACACACCAGCCCGGCTATCCGCATGCACACCCCACACGTTCCCGGCTGAAGATCCAAGTTACAGCTTCTTGCCGCCGTCGCTAGTCAATGCGTGAGCCGTCCCAACCGTGCTTCTTCACGTCATGCCGAATATTGATTGTTGCCATGGCAACGCCCGTATTTACACAGGTACTTACTTAGGTACATATGCCACGTACATGACCGTCCTCACGCGGGCCCTTGTCTCTCAGCCACCATCCGCATTTCTGTTCAATTGGTGAGAGGCCACTTCGCACCCTCTGCTCTGACGGTCGTGTGCTGAAGCCCCGTCTCCGCTCTTTCTCTCAACAATGGCGGGCCGCTGGCAGCCCTACGCATACGGGTATGGATATGCAAACCAACCGCAATCCATGGCCGACATAGATCCCTCTCAGCCCATCTTTGACCCAAAGGCCATCACCAGGGCTAGTCGCATGCCGCCTTCGCCTCCCAAGAAGAAGCCAACAGGGCCCTTGATTGATTTCAACAAGCACCCTGACAGCTTTCTCGTTCTTCCCTATGGAAATACAAAGGCGAAGCCTATGAGCGCCAAGACGAAGCTCTTCATCGATATTGCCCGATGGATCCAGGTCGGCTTGAGGATCATCACGCTCTTGGGCGCAGTCGGCGTATTGCTGTGCGGCATCTTCATCCGCGGTGTACAGGATACCGAAGGCTACATTATGAGGATACCAGTAAGTTTTGTCTATGCTCCACAGAGATTTCGCTAACAGGTGCAGCCCGGTGTGGATCTCATAATATCACTGTATGCTGTATACCACTTGATCCGTAATCCTAAGAACAGACCAGCAGGAAGCTCTGCCAGCTACCACTTCTTTGCGCTTGTCACGGATGCTGGTTTCATTCCCTTTTATGTCTTCACCGTTTTGATGGCTCGACGAAACTACGACATGAAGGTTGGGGAAAAAGGTCGTTGGGTCACAATGTTCCCTACCAACGAGGAGACCGAAAAAGTACTTTTAACGACATGGGTCACTGCCATTTCGGTCGGTGCTTTGCATCTGATTTCTACCTTCTTGGACATGTACATGGCTCTTGTATTCCGCAAAATTTCCAAACTGCCACCCGACATGAACCCGCTCGAGGACAATCTCACATCACGCAGAAAGGCCAAGCACAAGCATAAGAACTCGTCCATTTCAGCTATGGAGCCTCTTACAGCAAAGCAAGAGAAGCATCTCAGTGACCAGACCACACTGTATAGTGGCCGGACTTCGAAAGCCGAGTCATACATCTATTCAGACATTCCCAGCCCTACCAAGAACCAGGTTGCCTTTATGCACACTCGCGCAAAGTCTGAGACAGTATACTCGCCGCATACCCCTGCGTCAGCTCGTCAGTCCAGAGAACGTTTCTCCATGTACTCACAACCGCCTTCTGCATATCAATCCCGGAAGAACCTCAACCATCGCGATGACCTTCTTAACGACGAGGAAGACAATCAGACTCTAGCGCAACGCAAGTCGATGCTTTCTGGCCAAGGCAATATCAAACGCCACTCGCGTCCCGGCTCTAATGTTACCAGCTCAAGAAAAACCGAGTTCCACACGCCTCGTTCAAGTGGAAACAGTGAACAGCAAGAAGCAACTGGTGACTTATCTCTGCAGCGAAACTCACAGCAAAGCCTCAAGGCAGACAATTGGTTCGTCTCGGCTGAAGAAGATGATGATGATCAAGACGACCACGCACCCCAAGCACCTAAGCAATCAATTTTCGCCTCCGCAAACGCCAACAAAGGCTACAGCACTGTAACTGCATACGAAGTACATTCCGACCCCGAAGACGACGCCGACGCCCGAGCGCCAATGATGCCACAGCCTCTACGCATGAACCCACCCTCTCCTCCCCCAGCCGACCTGACCGACAACTACCAAGGAAGCACGCCTCCACCCGCATACCTGCAATCCCACGACAACACACGACACAGCATACGTACAGAAGAGCACCTCGACCGCCCCCAGTCACGCGCTACTACACCCAAATCGCGCCGCTATGGCAACCTACAAGACGCCACAGCCGGCGTCCGCAGCGCCAAATCGCCTCACTCCAATTCCTCCTCCCCAACCAAAGACTCCTCCTTCCGCCGCCAACCCAACCACTTCCCCAGCGCCACCAAACAGTACGCCGTCAATGTCCCTGCGACCCAGAATGGCCAGGGTAAAGCCAATGGACTCGCCCCCAATGCACCCTTCTCGCTGCACAAGAAGAGCTACACGTCTATCAAGCGTACCGGCGAGGCTAACTCGACTCCCGTTAAGCGCCAGTCGCCGCGTGTGATTAGCAGGAGTGGAGTCGATTACACGGGCGCTTTCGCTTTTGACGACGCGGACCTGGGTGTGCCGGGTCGCAGGCGCGATGTCAGTGGTAAGATCGCAGAGGAGGGCCGCGGTGGGCATTGGGGTGCGAGTGGGATTGTGCAGCGCAAGGTTAGTGGTGTCGCTCAGGCTTATTAGAAACAAGCTTGAGGTGTATGAATGAGTTGGGCGTTTCACGGAGTTTTGAGGGCTTTTTCTTCAGCCTCCTTCCTGAAATGAACAAAATGGAGGGGTTTTTTTTAATTCCATCTATGGTTTGTATAAATAACACGGATGTTGGGATGATTATCATGTAGGTATGTATGGATGATGATGCGGGAGGGCTTGCTTAGCTGAGCTCTACGAGTCTCGGGTTTTTCATGTCGATTTTGGCCGGGGATGTAGGAATACACAAGGTACGTCTCGCGTTGTATTTTTTTTTGGATGTGGTAGTTACGCTCTCGATTACGAGTTGCGAATAATGACATTTGCGAATTCTACTGCCTCATAACTATCTTCTTCCCCTTCTTCATCGTGATCATGACAACCAAAAAGTTCCTTGTCTTGTTCAATGCCTGTATTCATACAATCGTTACATTGTCATAATGCTCCAAAATAGGACTTTTTTGTATGCACCAAAAAAGGCCCAGGCCCCCAAGTCTGGCATGAACAATCATAAAAGCAAAAGCCGCTATGACAGAAAAGTGAAAAGAAAAATGCACAAGCGAACATGAAAAAAAGCAAAATCAATACACTTTCCCCGCCAAGCCGTCCAGAGGTTTTTATGACGAGCAAAAAGATGCACGCTCCCATATGTACGCTATGCATAGACAGTCAAGTGATGTACATCAATCAGTTCAGAACAAAGACAGCATGCGCAACAACAGCAATCGCGACGCCATTTTCCATGCAATGTAATGCCATCATGAGTCGGAACAAAAGTGTTGAAAAATAAAATAAAAAAAGAACTACCGCAGGGCGCAGATATGATTACCAGCTCTACCTTGCTGGGTGGGCTGGATAGGGTCCGTGCTGGTGGTGGTGTGGAGGTGCAGGCATAGAAGAATGATGATATCCTACGTGTTTATCCTGCGGAGGATAGGCTTCGAACATGACTCGTCTTTGGGGAGCCTCAGTCCTGAGCGGACTTGGCTCTAGAGTCCCCACAGGAAAGCGCTGCGAATTGTTTGGACTGCTCATGAAGAGCAACGTGTCGACCGCGTCCTTTTCTGCTTGTTGACTGGGCATACGAAGTATTCCTGCTCTAGGTGTTGCTGGCGATCGCATGTCTCCACTCAAGTCACTGTAGTATTTCCTTTGGCCTGTTGCTAGAAGAGGAGGGGGAATATGTGAGACTGTAGACCGGCGTCTTCGTGAGTTCTGGAATGTGGGAGCTGGAGCAAGGCCATGACCATGACTAGGCCCATGACCGTGGTTTGCACCAGTAATAGAGATGAGGTTTGCGGCAGCATGCATTGCAGGACGGGTAGCCGGTATCCAGTACGCTATAGTGTGTTAGGAATGCTTTGGTCAAAGGGCAAGGAGACTGACGGCCTGGTGTTCCCACATGTGATCGCGTGGGATCAGAGACCGGTGACATGATCATCTGATCGGAAATGTCCGAGACGCCGCTCGGTCTCCGTCGTCGCTCGCTATCGGCAGGCGAGTCGAATGCTAAGTAGTCGCTTCTGCCAGGAGCAGAGTTGGGCGATCCGCGCTGCGATTGACCTTCTTCCAATTCTTCGAGCGACTGTTTCTCCCAACCGTTCTGGACCTTGACCATGGCGTACGAAAGACGCGTCTTGAGCTGGGCAGATAGCTGCATTCGCGTCAGCATTCAGTAACACGAGCTTGATGCGAGAGGGCGCACCTCTCCAATGCGAGTGCCCGAGTGTGTATCCATGCTCTTGTTTCTCTTGTGGGCTGCCATGGGTCTGGAGGTAGAAGGTGTCGCGAGGACTACACCAGCAGCCTTGACAGAGCCGTCTGCGCTTCTCTTGGAGCCCTGGGTAGTTGGAGAGCCTAGTGGTTTTGGACTGGGTGCCTTGTCACCAGCGCGCGACTCTTTAGCAGCGGCAGTGTCGACGCGCGGTGCGGCCCACGCGTCGCCACGAGGAGATTGCGGTGGGTGTTTAAGCATTGGGGCTGGTGTGTCGGTAGGCTTGGTGTGGCTCTCAGCATTGGCCGACGAAGGGGCGGTACCCTCGGTCTCTGTAGTCGTGGAAGTTGAGAGGGTGCTCGACGAGGAAGCCAGGGCGGGAGCGGAAAAGGTGCTGGACTGGGCCGAATGGACCGTTTCTTGTGAGGCCCGCATGTCTGACTGGTGCGGACTAGCAATGGATGGTGTAGGGGCAGAATCGGGGGCCTCTAGTGGCGCAATGGACATGTGAGAACCACGGTAACGGGCAGGTCGGCTTGGGGGATGTCAAGACTTACGATGAGGCATCGTGGGCGGACGGCGGGGTAGGAGAAACAGTAGGAGCAGGAATAGTAGGAGTGGCAGCTAGTAATTGGAAACAAGCGTTGGGAATGGAGTCAAAAATGCAATGGCTGGCAAAGAAGGGTTATCCGGTGCAGAGTCGAGGGTACCAAAGCGCGGCAGTGGGAGTGGGTGGTGGAGAGGGAGTAGTGGTGGTGGGAGACGTGAGTGTGCTTTACGCGGTAGAACGCGATCGCAAGCCAGATAATTAGTGGACTCGCAGCCCGTTGGGAAGCCGCACCGATGATGGTCGCCGACACAGAAGCAGTCGAGAAACAAGGCCGGAGGGTTTGCGAGGCTTCAAGGCGCGTTCTGTACAGAGCGTGAGGGCAAAACTGGAGACTTTGTCGTGGGCCTTGGACTTGGTGAAGCCGCGCGAGAGGCTTTCGAACGCACGCGTGGGAGACATTTTGGGAATAGCGCATTGCCACACTGTGCACTAATGGGCAAAGCACGTATTGATAGGCGGTAAAAGCGCATGCGCTCAACGCTGCCGAACGGCTGGTCTTAGCAGAGTTTTCGGGGTAAGCCTGACATGCATGTGTGCAGACGGATCCTGTGGTGTTTGTGGCTGCATGTTTGCTTTTCCGTCATTACTACATCCATCCATCCATCCATCCATCCATCCATCCCTACCAGATACGTAGGGTGCAAGTCACTTGCCACTGTCCTATAACGTAAGCTTTCGATAGCGCGTGTTGGCACCGTGATCGCGATCCAAAAGTGCGGTATTAATTACTCCGCTTGCTTGGTACGCGTCCAATTCCCTCGGCTGGACTGCAAGCCGGACACGCCCATAGGACAGAAAAATACACACCACCTAAAATCATCGCAGATAACAAAACATCACGTTACAGTCAACAAAAAAATCGTGCAAATTAAATGACACGGTATGGCGAATTTCACAAAAGAATAAAATTGAGAAGAGACGAATGAATCGTTGATTCGGTCGCAACATGAACAAACATTGCTTACTCGACTCTTTATATTCCTACCCAAACTCCTACGAGCTGCGGTTGTAGTAATCCCACTTGGGCAACTTCATCGTACCGTGCTCGTTCAGATGTCTGTGCATATCAAAGCTGTTCCACAGCAGATGAGGCTCATGGCCCCATCCCTTCCTCAGACACTCGAATTCCGCCTTGTTGAAGTAGTCCTCCAAAATAGGAACGTAGTCAGGGTGCGCGCACTTCTTGATAATAACCCGGGCACGCTCCCTGGGCGACAGTCCGCGCACATCGGCAAGGCCTTGCTCAGTCACAACAACGTCGAGGTCATGCTCCGTCTGGTCAATGTGGGTGCACATGGGCACAATGCAAGACACGCCTGTAGGGTCCGTCTTTGACGGGCGAGTCGACGGTGTATGCATGATCGAGTACTTAGCAGAACGCAAGAAATCTGCAGAGCCTCCGAGACCGTTGAGCATGCGGCTGCCCATGACACATGTAGAGTTGGCGTGTGCGTAGATATCCACCTCTACAGGCGTGTTCATACCAATGACACCAAGACGTCGGATAATTTCAGGGCTGTTGGATACTTGCTGGGAGCGTAGCAAAAGCTTAGGCGCATACTGCTCCCAGCCCTTGTAGAAGCGGTCGAAACCATCGGGCGAGAAACGAATTGAAGTAGCCGTTGCAAAGTCGAGGTTTCCAGAATCAAAAAGGTCCAGGAAAGAGTCTTGAAGAACCTCAGTCCATACCTTGAGGTTCTTGAAGTTTGCACCGCCAGACTGCACATGTTAGCCTATCATATATCAAGCAAATCGTGTGAAAAACGTACAGCAAGGCCACCAACAACCGCATTGGCAATGTTTCCAATGCCCGACTGGAGGGGCAATAGGTTCTCCGGCAGCCGGCCATGGTTGACCTCATGCTTCAGAAACTCAATCAGGTTCGCAGCAATGGCCCTCGAGGTTTCATCCTCGGCAGCGTTGGGCTGTGTTTGATCTGGGTAGTCGCTCTCCACAATGGCAACCACCTTTTCGGGGTCAACAGGGATGTGGGGGGTGCCGATGCGGTCTTCAGGAGACATGATTAGATAAGGCTTGCGGCGTGGTGGGAGGTCGGTCATAGTAATGTCATGTAGACCTTCAAACGATGGAGCGGCAGTGTTGACTTCAATGATAATCTTGTCGGCCATTTGGACAAGCTCGGGCGAGGCGCCTACACTGGCGCCAGGAATAATCCCACCGTCCTCAGTGATTGCAGACGCTTCAACAATAGTAACATCCAGCTTGTTGTGAGGCTTGTTCAGTGTGTAGAAGCTTTTCCAGTCAGTACTGTCCATCCTTCAGCCGATCTTGCATTCATCTACTTACCCGTACATTAGATCGACAGGAAACATACTCAAATGTTTGTCGAAGAATTTGATGTTACCGTTGTTAATTCCTTTGGCGATTTCCTTGCCCACTTGATGCGGAGACCGGCGCTCAATCATATTGAGTCGCGCCCACCGATTCTCTGTTTCGGCGCCTGACGAAGCACCGACGAAGAGATTGTACTTCATCTGGCCCTGAAGGTTGTTCTTCTCAACATGGTCCGCCAGCGCCGTGGGGATTTTCCTATGGTCATGTTAGTCGACGGGGTAAGAAATGCCAAAATCGAAGTATGCGTCCAGAATAACACGTCTTCAACAGCAGTCATAGCCAGGACCGGTCTCATGAGTCGTCGTGACTAGCCACCATGACATGACCCATGCATAGCTGGAATTGTGGAGCCGGAGTTAACTCGGCTTTCGTCACTTTCCAAACTTCCGTTCCCCCTCGGAACTACGGGTGTGTGTTTACGGACTCCCAACACAATACCCAAATTCCTGATGTTTCTCAAGGGGTTAAGGGCATTGCCGTTTGTCTTCTCATATAGCTGGACAAAAAGATAAACACACTTACTTTGGGTATCCTACGCCTGTGAAGCCACTCCAACCGATGTATGCTCCATTGGGAAAGTGGTGTAGTAAATCCTCCGCTTTGGCAAGCTTCTTGAGATAACTCGGCCTCCGAACTCGGCTCTTCAATGCTGCTGAGACGGACATATTGAGCCTTGTGTTTTGAGTTCAGGTGTGATGGCGATGGTTGGATTACGTAGAGCTTATCGATAAAGCCTTTAAAGTTGTCTAGAAAGCAAACAGCCCAGTGTGGGGAACAAGATGAAAGATGAAAGATGAGAGAGTGGAGAGGAGCCGCGACGGGCAAAACTTGAATCAAAAACTCTGGGGGACTCTGAGAATTTAAACTATGGAAAGGCCAAGACTAACTCCTTTCGAGCAGCACTGGCGTAGAGTGTCGCTGTGGGCTGATGCTCATCGACCCACACAAGCATGACGTCTGCCGTAAAACCCCGGTCTAGGGAGAGGGGCGCACGCAGAGATTCCAAACTATTGGAGGCGAGGCTGCCTTTTATGCATGATTTGCAGCTTTACAGGATCAGATTAGTACAGTAAGTGTTGAGTACCCTTCGGGCTTAGGGTACATTGACAGGTGTAAGTACGGGGTGTGTGGCCTTAGCGTTCATGCCTATAAGCCGGTTGAACGCTCCTTCCTGAACTCACGATATAGCAGGTACAAACTGTGGAAAACAAAGAGACCACTGGTCCCAATTCTTTATTCATATAAAAATAACCCAGCGATCCTGCGCTTCATGGGACTAATCAGGTCAGACAGATATGCTCAGTCACCTTTACTCAGACAAACTAATTACTGGTACCTAGGCTAAACAGACTTACATACTACAACTCCATAACATCCTGTACATCTTCAGTCAAACCAGCCTGTTTCGTGCCTTGCGGAGAGAAATAAGTCTTGAAGACATCCTTCAGAACCTTGTCGCCCAAGTTCATATGTCCACCTTTGGTGGTCTTGAAATGCAGACCACCCTTTTGATCCAACTTCTTCAATCCAATCCAGTCCTCTTTGTATATGTCGCGATCCCTCAGCTCTGTTACCTCGTTGCTGGTAAGGTTTGTGTACGCAAACCAGCCGCTCTCCTTGGGTATGACTGTTGTGTCGTCCTCGAACACGTACATGACGAAGTTGTCCAGTGCCGCGAGATTCTTTGCATATGCCGGGTTCTTCAGCGCTCGCTCGTTGTTGATGTCTGCAAGGAAATTCGACGCCTCGAGGTATTCGTCGGTCGGCTCGCCGGTGGTTTCATTGGTGGCTTTGAAGTACTGTGCTGGGACAAGGTGTCCTTGAACCCAAGAACCCCAGGTGTTTGCCTTGAGTAATCCAATATACCCTTTGCATAGCCAATCTCCATCTTTGCAAATCTGGTACTTTGCAATGCCGTTGTGCTGGCTTCCAAAGGTCACCAGATTCTTGATGTTGATGCGATCTCCGCATCTTTCCACTAGGCCCCGAAGAAACTGTCCGCCTTGTGAGAAGCCCATCGCATTGAGGCCCGGCGCTTGCGACAAGACCTCATGTTCCAGGATGTCGTCGCAAACTTGAGCAATCTGCTCAGTCAAATTGCCCAAAAACGTCGCAGTCCGGTCGCTTCCAGGATCTTCGTCAAGTCGGATGTAATAAACATAAGTGCCTGGAACTGTCTCGTTTACAAGTTCACCGACGCTTTGCAGGCCATCTGCAGCATAGTTGTCGCCCAGGCCGTGCCAGATAAGCAGCGGTAAGGGTTTAGATTCGCTGTGCGCAGAAGGTAGCGCTAAGGTTTGCGCCACAAGAAGCAAGGTGGAGATGGGGAGTAAGCGCAGCATTGCAAAATGTGTGAGAGGAGAAGTATCGTGGCTCCGTAGTTGCGAGGCGTGCGACACCTGAGACGCGTCGGATGACGTCTGCATCCAGCCGAGGCCGCTTCAGCCGGAAAGGGTCAAAGCGTCTACCACTACCACAGCTCAACACCTAGTCCCAATTTCTTTATAATAACTGCGCACATTTTACACAATTTCCAAGCGATGGATACTAAGCGGCTCTTTAATCTGCGGTAGTACAAATGAGGGTTGCTCGATTAGCATCCTCATGAGGGGTTTTAGTCACATAGACGAAGTACTGAAGAAGCGTATATTACTTCTATCGCTATCTTGATGAACACAATCTTTCTCCATTTGACGCAAAAATGATCAGTTGCCTTCAGCTTTCGTGAAACAAGACTTTTGGGATATGCCAAAGCTAAGGTAATACGAAGCTTCATGTTTGCTATCCTAAGATCCTTTGCTTATATCTCCGGCGGTGTAGTTATGATAAGAAAGTGACAGAAGAGTTGACTAGAGACAAACGCTAACGAGTATACATACACACTAAATCTACCTCTCAGGGATAGATAAGTGACTAAGCCAAAGATCCAACCGTGGTATTTGCCGATAAATGAAGGTGTACTGCTGACACTCGTCCAATCCGAAAGTTGGGTAATTCCTCATGGATCCGTCCCAATTCACTCTGGCTGATATACTTTATACCAATCTATGAAACACCCGATATGAAGACAATTTGGTAGAGTTTCTCGATAGAATTTGCTTTGCGCATTTAGCGGCATTATAAAATGTAGTTAGTTAAGTGAGCTACCTTGTTACTCAACCACTCGTGGACATGTCACGTGACCAGATCTTGAAGTAAGAAACTAAAGCTGAAGTGGGAACTGTATTCCTTTAGAAGCTATCTATTACTTTGTATCCAGCGCCGTATACATGTCTTCATTCACAAAAAACCAAAACTATTACCGACAGTGCACAGAAGAAGGGAAAGTATGGTTCGACTGCCCCTGTAGCTGCCCCACTGCGACGAATCTTGGCAAAATGTAGGGTCAACCCTGTCGTATTTTTTGGTTTGGGGCGCGCAGAAAGTTGCTGGTACATGGTCTGTGCATAACATCCGCCAAGCCTTCTCGCAAAAAGTTCAGCCAAATTTCCAGCGCAGTTTCTAGCACAACCATACAACATCACAATGGCGAAATCAACAGCCGTGACCAAGAAGGCTGAGAAGGCGACCGAGGCGCCTCTCACTACCAAACCCGCGAATGGCACACCCTACCAGCTGGACCCGTCGCAAGTCGAGCGCGCGGCGAAAGCGCTCGTTGCGCACATGAAAAAGCATGTGGAAGAGAAGCAGGAGAAAGCACCGACGAAGAGTTTGGCCGCGGACGAGGATGACGCCGAGGAGATTGATGAGCCCATCTTTCTCAGTCTTTCGACAAAAAAGCAGATTGCCAATACGAAGAGCATGAAGCCTGTCGCTATGTATGGTCGCACATCATGTACAGCATAGAGCACAACTGACAGTACCCAGCAAGCTTCCTCACCCTATCATCGCCACCGATGTCCGGGTATGCATTTTCACCAAAGACCCGCAAAGAGCATACAAGGATCTCGTAGCATCCGATGCCTTCCCTGCCGCACTCCGCGCCAAGGTACAGCGCGTCCTCGGCGTAGAAAAGCTCAAGAAGCGATACAAGGCATTTGAACAGAAGCGTGCACTGCTTGCAGAGTATGATGTCTTCTTGGTCGACGATCGTGTTATCAAGATTGTTGCAGAGTTCTTGGGCAAGGTTTTCTACAAGAGCAAGTCGAAGCGCCCAATTCCCATCCGTCTGACTGCTGGCGCACATATCGACAAGAGCGCAAAGAAGGATACCAAGGAAACAAAGGATGTAGTGGGAACACCTCAAGGTGTAGCAAAGGAAATTGAATCCGCTCTGAACTCGACTTACCTGAGCATGAGCCCGTCCGCGAACACCTCGATCAAGGTCGCCAACCTCTCCATGACGCCACAACAAATTGCCGAGAACACCGCTGCGGTAGTATCTGAGGTTGTGAACAAGCACGTCGGTCAGGGTTGGCGCAACATCCGTAGTCTTCATGTCAAGGGCCCAGCAACAAAGGCACTACCCATCTGGCTTGCCGAAGAGCTGTGGGTGGAGGACAGCCAGGTTCGGGATGGACCATACCAAGGCACAATTACAGAGGGCACTGCCAAAGGAAAGTCGGCAGAACGCAAGCGAAAGTGGGATGAGTGGGAAGAGGAGCTGTTGGACGACGAAGTGTTTGCGGCGAAACAGGCAAGAAGGGAGGCCAAGAAAAACAAGAAGTCTGAGAAGAAGAGCTCGATCAGTAAAGAGAAGAGGAAGGCGCTGAAGCAAGACGCGCTCAAGTCGGTCCAGACGCCTCTGATTGCTAGTTAAGTTTTTTTACAAGCATCACTGCATGATACGGCGCATCTGGTGTTGGCGTTGAGGAGTCCAAAAGATGAACATTTATATAATAGTATACTTGAGCACTCCTGAACGAAAATGGAATGGTCCCGCCCAAGTGAACAGAAAAGTCGTTTGTTTAGCAATGAACGCAGGTAATGCAAGAGCAAGGACCTCTGTGACCAAAGTGAAGCTGTAGGGTGGCAGGATCCAAGTACCTGTATAGACGTCTCGTGTGATGAGCCCCGCCGCCTGGCTGGCTCCGGTGACTTGGTTCTCGACACATTAGCCCCTCTAGATTTGTGGTACAATGAAACGCAATCGACATCGTCGTTATAGTAGTTGGTTGCCACATTGCTGTTGTTGACGTGGTCAATGGCGAAAGGCAGTTGGGGAAAAGCATTTCACTGTCAATGTCACCCTTGGAGTACACTGGGTACCGCAGAACAGAATTACATATAAGTTAGTCTACTTGCATACGTGGATGGAGCTAGGTAGTAGAGCAAACTAAGCAAATCAACAGAGTTTATGATATACTACCCAGATATGTGGAGAAGCCACAGCGCTAGTACTAATTAGGAAGTGAAATTGATGGCACGTGCTTGCTATATGGGAATAATTGTATGATTTTCGTAATTGCCCTGGTAACATGGATTTTTGTTCAGTCTCGTCTCTTAGCCTGTTTGCTCAAAGGTGCCTCCATTAACCAAGCGATCTGCAAGGTACTCCCCTCAATTGGACGAGGGGGGCTTATACGCTTCTAGATTCACTGATTCGCAGACACGGGGGCTCACGTTACCGAAGGATCGCTCGAATCCGGCTACCTTGATTGATTGATTTGAGCCGAAACGCTGCCACCGTGCACTCTCGCCTGGCCACCACCATTTCCACTGAACGCGTCTCTGCTCCACTTTGGGCGTGGAAGTGTTTGCAGTCGCGTTTAGCTGCGTCAAATGCTGCACAGAGTTTTTCTTTTACATGCATGTCGATCGCGTGCGTGTTCGTGCCTGCGCAAGGACCGCGGACTATATACCGTAGTGAGCGTCAAATGCCTGATTTTTCGTTACGTTGTAACAACTGTGTGCGTGTCAAATGTCCCGGTAAGCGTGCTTCGTATGCTGTAATTGTGGAGTGACAAGTGGGATGGGGCTCCAGCGCAGAGGCAAACCAAGTTGGAGAGATATTTGTGAGGCAGCTGTACATGCATCCATACATGCGCATGTGTAGACCTTTAGGGTACAATTCCGTAGCAACCAAGTGCTGTAAACCTACAAAAGATAAGATGAATTGCTCTGCCTTTGGCAAGATGATGCAGGAGGCATATTGCGAGGCTGGGGGCTGGTGCTGAACGTGGCCCGAGCTTTAGGTAGTCGCGACTTGCACGAGTCTCCGCGTTACTGCTTAGTCTCGTCATTGAATGGCTTTTCTCCTCTCTTCCTAACCGGCTTTTTCTTCTCTTTCCCACAGATTCCCTCGAGGCTACCGTTGCGTCTTCGACAGCCCCTTCTGCACCCGCCGTCACCGCTCCCTCTCGGCTGTCACGTCTCCGACTAGTCACGTCTATATTGCCCCCATATAGGCGTCGACACGCTGTCTCGCGTTCCAGGAGTTGATCAGACGACATGGACGCCTCACCCAGCAAAGTGCTGGCACAGTCTCCCTTGCAGTCGACTGAATTGCAGCCGGAGCGGGTGAGAAAGGCCACGCCGACTCTTCTTCCGGCCTTCGGCGAGGATGGACCCTTCTCCTCATCACCCTTCCCACGCCCATCGCCCACCAAACGCAAGTTTGACCAGGACTCGCCAACCTTCCCTAAGCAGCTCAAGTACTACCCGACTCCACAGCCTACATCGTCAACCAACATCATTTCGTCGTCGCCCCGCCATGCCCGGCCGGGCCTGGAACGCACCTTCTCGGCTCTTTCCGAGCGGACCCCTCTTGGTGCTGTACCCACTGTAGACCTTCCAGCAGATGGCGAAATCCTGCGTATGGGCCGAAGCTCCAACACGTCCGACTATCAGCTCTCTACCAACCGCCTCATCTCGCGTGTCCACGTGCAGGCCGCCTACCATGCGCCAAGCACACTATACCCACAGGGCTATATCGAGGTCGAGTGCCTGGGTTGGAATGGAGCAAAGATTCATTGCAAGGGCCGCATCTTTGAGCTGAGCAAGGGAGACACGTACATGTCGGAAAACCCAGAGACGGCAATCATGTTGGATGTACAGGACACCCGTGTCATGATCGCTTGGCCATCCGTCCCCGCTTCTAAAATGTCGTGGGAATCGGAAGAAGAGGGCATGCCCACGCCCACCCGTCGTCGTGCTCCCGAAAGCTTCAACTCCAGCCCTCCTCTAGCTCCACGTTCGCCTGTGTCTCAGAGCCCTATCCGCCGCCCCAACTTTGCCGCTATCGGCACTAACAGCCAGCCCGGACAGGTCCAGGTATTCGAGGATATCGATGCCGGCCAACGTAGCCCTAGTATCGACACTCCTAATTCTGCAGACCAAACCTTTATCCGGCCTTCACTTCCAAATCCAAAGGCCGGGCGTGATGCAGACCCTGCCGTCGACCTCAAGGCGAGTGTCAATTATGCTGCTGATGAGTTCTCGGATAACGACGAAGAAAATGACCCTGTTGTACACTCTTTCGGTCCGTTTGGTCAGGACCTTATTAGCGGCCTCGAGTCGTTCAACGCAGTCACGCCTTTGCAGCCCAGTAACCCACGCATGCGTGCACCGTTGATATCGCCTTCTCCCAAGCGTCGCTGTGCAGAGCCCATCCACTACAAGGAGTCTCCTATTAGGAACCACGTCATCAATCAGCTGGCATTCTCTCGTATCCATTCCCAGCCTTTGTCTGCCATTCACAGCAACCTTCCGGCTGAGTTGAAGGCTTGCATTACGAAGAATACCGAAGACAAGGACACAGAGGGCGGCGTAGTAACACCTCTACCTCAGCTAACGGCACAAGACCTCAAGAAGATCTTGGATGATACCCCCTGCGTCGGTGAAATTCCGCGCGCTGGAAAGGACGCTGCCGGTCAGCCCCTCGAAAATGAATTCTACTACGTTCCTGAGATGGATACCAACCAGATGAGGCGGGAGACTATCACCGCCGGCACTCGTAGCACTGGTCTTCGATCCGTCAGAAAAACTCACAAGGTATGGACTAGTCCCACACGCGTGCTTGGATGCTGCCATTGAATAAGTAGCTAACCGCTCATAGCAATATTACTGGAAAAAACCTCGCGCCTGAGGTGCTCACTATTACGACCGCGTGTTTCTCAATATTTCATGACGTAGTCGCCAGTCATCTCTCCCCACTTCTTTGTGCTTTTGTGGCGCCAATCCCGGTCCTCATCATGTAAGCCCGAATGTTCCGAGGAGACATAACGTACACCACACGCACTTACGCCGCCCCATAACCTTTTTAAACTTCACACTTTGTTTTAGTACACTGCATAGCGAGGCGTTACGATACCATTTTACCCCCTTTCCCGTTGTTCTGTATATCGGAGTCTTTTGAGTTTATTTCCCCCATCATCCTCCTCTGTCTTGTGTTTACATGCATCGTCCTCTCTCGCCCCACAATTATACGATCATGTTGATAATCTCTTGGTGGTTTCACGGTGGATAAAAACCAGGTGTTCTGGACACCAGTATACCTTATTTCCTTTTTTTTTCCAGATCTACTTACATGGTTTTTCATCCTCGCGGTCGGTCGGGAGCTATATGGTGTGGGATTGTATATGTCTCATGACAGATTGGAAATGTGTATCTGTCAATACACACGATTACACACAAGCTACGACAGGTACGCTTAGAATGAGGGGGCAAATTCTTTTTTTCTCATGGCTTAGTGTTTCTGTTTTTGTTTTTTCTTGTTTTTTTTCGCCCTTCCAAAGTAGCAGGGCCGTGCCTTTTTTCTGGGGTTTTCTTCATGCTTTTGTATGAATGTTTTGTTTTTTCTCCTTTCTCTACTTGAATGTATAAAGAGTCTTTTAGTCCAGTAGGAGCAGATTGTCAGTTGCAGAGAAAAAAAATGAATAGTTTTGTCAGCCCCTATAATGTTCGCTGAATTTGCTACCTTGTTTGTGTGGCTCAATTGTGCGAATATGAAATCAAATTTTGATTGTGATGCTCACACCCTCTCATGACTCTTTTTGGTTCATGTCGTCGGTACATCTCTTCGTAATCAGACTATCGCTAGTACTCAGTTCCTCGGTAGTCCTTTTTTTCCGCCCCTCTACAACATTGGTCATAACTGCACAACAATAAAAATCAATAACATTTGTCACATTGATACTTGCCTCGAGACATTGCACACTTCCAACTTCAGGTTTTGTGGAATTTCAAGCAATGACGTAATCAGTGAACGAGCATGACACGTCATCACGTGATCTTAATAGTATTTAGCCAAACGATACATTGGCGCAATCACCACGTTCAACAGGTTCCAGGAACAGCATTTCGAGGGGACTGAAAAGACTCGAAGCTGGTGGGTGTTTGAATTTGATCGATTTCACTCTACATGCCCAGTTCCCTTCGTCCAGTCTCAAATCCGAGAATAAGACCATCACGCCGCCACAGAGTGTGGCAAGTGCCGCGAAAGTAGTAGTGACCTTGCCCTCATATCCATCGCATGCAATCGTTGCAATTCGTTTCCACCGTGCCCGATACTCTCTCTTCGCCAGACGCCAATATAAGCGAATCGTCTATTTGAGCTTCTTCTTGGGGCGGAGCTGGTTGGTGTGACCGCACTTCTTCTTGCGCTGTAGGTCGTTAGCCGAGTTTTGTCCCACGTTAAATATAGGACCCTCCAAAGAGGATGAGGCAAACGTACGCAGTTGACAGCCCTCGGTGGCAGACGTGCGTAGCACTTGCGGCAGATCATCTTGTCGCAGTTGTACTTGGAGGCAAGGGCCTTGAGCGAGGGCTCAATGATACCACCACGGAGACGGAGGACCAAGTGGAGTGTTGACTCCTTCTGGATGTTGTAGTCGGCAAGGGTGCGGCCATCCTCGAGTTGCTTTCCGGCGAAGATCAGGCGCTGCTGGTCCGGGGGAATGCCTTCCTTGTCCTGGATCTTGGCCTTGACATTGTCTGTCCATGCTTGTCAGCCCAGGTTCCCTTCCAAGCTAACGTCTCTGCGAGCGTTGCATGCGACGCGTTGCGCTGCGGTCGTCTTATCGATCGAGGACATGCGTACCGATGGTGTCAGAGGACTCCACCTCGAGGGTAATTGTCTTGCCCGTCACTATAGAGATATCAGTATAATCCCAGTAGGTATAGAGCGATAATGCGACGTACGGGTCTTCACGAAGATCTGCATGTTTGCGGTGTTGCTGGATCTTGGTGTCGAAGTTCGTCGATTGAGCGAGGCGAAGTGGAAGACGAATTGGCAGTGTGGGCGTCCGAGCGTTGGAGTCTAACGCCTAAGCGACTAGCGCTCAGGCTTGCCCCTCACGTGCGTTCTCTTTCATCGTACACCAAGAGGAACACCAACACCTGGAATTATCTGCACCTCTATTTTGAGATAGTCATTTGTCAAAAAGGTTCTCGCCGGTATTGGCTGCAGATGTTGTGCCTCTTTTTAATGATGTCATAGACATGTCAATCTATATTACATCTCATTGCAAACGCAATCTGTCAGTAGGGATAAGTAACATGACGAGCAGAATATTTGAAGGGTTGATTGTAATACTCGATGAGTCATTTCAATTCTGCTGACTATTTTTCTCCTGTTGCCTTCTCCACTGCTCCACCCTCGCCTCTGTGAATCTTACTGCTAGTAAAAGTATATCCATCGGCAACCCCGCTAGCCTTCCAGTCTTCTCGTAGAACACCCTTGCCACCTCAGGGAGATCTTCTTGTGTCTCCCATACCGGATATGCTTGTCCAGCCCTCAAAGTCTGTCCGCTTTCATCTTCCGTATTTGGTATTGCCGCCATCATACTATGGACCGACTTGACAAGACCCAATTCTCGTTGCAGGGACAGCTTGGGATAAGAGCTCCTTGTCGGGTATTTGGCCTCATTTTCGATAGGAAACATGTCAAAAAGCGCCTCCTGGAAATAGTCTGTACGTTTTATACGTTGAATCGCTGCATCATCCAGAAATGTATCCGCATAGAAGTCGAGATACCGGTCCATATCTTCAGATCCCATGGAGAATACGTCCTCGTTTCGTAACTTCACCATCTCTTCAGTGGTGAAGCGACCAGCATCTGTGTCTTTGTTGTCAACATCGCTCATCTCTTTGTACCACATATCCCAGTTCATCATTGCCACAGTCTTTCCCACCGAAAACTTCCGATAAAGCTGGTCTGAAGTGAACGGGCATAATAGCTTGGTGCATACTATAAAGCAGCTGGCTAGCTGCGCTTCAGCAATGTATCGTATGCCCATTCGTTTCTTATTCTCATAGTGTGGGGCGAAATCATAGCTTAGTAATTCTGCCAGACGCTTCGTTGCACCGTAAAGTTCCAATGGTAAAGCGAGCTCTTTGAGGTAGCGAAACAAGAGCAAAGGAACGTTCAGAGGTGGCCATATGATACCGTGATCTGCACCGTAGCTTATTTGCAGATCTGTCAGCAGTCTGTAGAAGCGTGTGTAGGTGAATGGTGCACTTGGATCGAGAACCGCGCGATACACAGGTAGTAGCCGGTCTCTCATAGAAAGTGGCACCAACTTGATGGCTCTCCAATAAGGCAACTTGTTATCCGTGACCCATGCGTGAATATCACCCGGCGTGATGGGCAATCTTAATGTTTTGATACCAAGATAGCATAGTAAGAGACAGTCGTTGAGGTTTGGAGCAGTAGATAGCATCTTGCTTCGTTTTCTCTTTTTGCCATGAACACGGCCTTTCTCCGTATCTGTGAGATCATCTTCGCTTTCTAGAGTGCTGAAGGTTTGTGATTGGGGCTGTGGATTTGCACTCGGATCTTCGTTGGAGGCGATTCTGTTTTCGAGCTGAGCGATACGTAATGCCCAAAGGTCGTAAACCACCGTTTCGAGTTCGGCAGGTAGTCCTTTGTTTTGCACCAGAAACCATATTTGATGGCGCAATATGAGCTGCAGACACTTCAAGTAAAGATCAAAGGCTTGTGTGCCCTTGGCAATCTTGTTGATTGTCCTGTCATCTTCCTCCACCTCTCTCTTTTTGCGTGTAACTGTCCGGGAGGCTGTTCTATAGTCGTCGTCGTCTTCCCCGTGGACTACACCAGCTTGCTGATGTCCGTTCTGGCAATAAAGATGCGCATCCTCGCCTTCCTCGTAGCGTCTTGACCGGCAGTTGTCGATGCCGCACACAGGACCTTTTATTGCCATAGGGATAAGGTAGTTTGTCTATCTCGGGCCAATCGAACTGACTAATGCCGATGCACTAGGCGTTGTCGGCAATAGACAAGATGCGCGGATTAGCCAAAATAACTGCTACACATGCAGTTTAGCTCGAGTTGACATGTGAAGGTTAGTATTGGCACGGACACCATAAGTTTAAAGTTGCACGTTGAGGTGAGTGGCAGCTTTGAGAAAGTAGAAAGAAGATGGCTGTTAATTAGCGCGAAAACGAAAATTCCCTTCCCAGCCAATGAGGGGCTCGACATTTGCCATAACAGCATCACCTTTTATTCATTTCCATAAGCGTAAGTGATATTTGAAGACAGGGAAATGATTCATGATACGTTTCCCATACATGGCAATTCCAAGAAACCAAATCCTTCCGAAGAACGTCCAGCACTAGTCGCCCGGCGCAAATCGCCGAGGAGAATGCTTCCTTTGCCACAAGGGTGCAACTTTGCACAATGCATGCAAAGAGTGTTCCAGCCCCATCCGTAACCTGTTCGCATTCTGCACCTCGCATCCTGCCAAACAGTCTACAAAACCAACCGATCATTTATTTGGGAGCCTCCTTGGCGTCAATGGCAGCCTCCTCACCCATGGCAGTAAGGACAATGACGTCTAGCAACTGGTCAGTACAAATTTTTGGTATAGGCTTCCCAGGTGTAACTCACTAGTGTCCTTGCCGTCCTCAGTGAACAGCTTGGTGATCTTGTCGCCAACCTCACCATCGGGAACCTTGACGTCGTCCTTGGTAGCGCCGTCGTCGGTCATGAGGGAAAGGAAGCCGTCGTCAGTAACATCGAGCTGTGTATGTTGTTAGGCGAGGGGTAGTCGCAAGCAAGACGTGCGGGGCTACTTACGAGCTGGTACTCGCGACGCGAAACGTTGGGGACGTCCATATTGTGGGTGGAAGGGCACAGTTCTTCGAGCTTCTTGCCAGTGAAAAGGTCAATGGCGACCAAGTGAACCTTTGCGTGGCCGTGCTTTCCCGTCTTGGAGGTGCTCATGTCGACGATCTTGCAGGGGCGGTTCTTGATGCAGACGAAACCGTTCTTCCTCAAAGCAGAGCACTGCATGGGGAACGTCTTGGAGGCACCGGCATCGGCGCTCTCGAAGGTGTGCTCATGCTACAGCAGGCCATTAGTATGCGAGAAGGAGTGGCAGCGCACGAGGGTAAGACGGCGAGGCGCAAGCGGCGACGATGGTCGACCAAGGTGGGGTAAAGAGAGCACATGCGGGGTTGAAGTCTGAAGAAAACGTACCTGCGCGTCGTTGTCGGCCATGGTGATGAATGAGAGTTGAAAGCGACGGGTGAGGAAGAAGGAAGAGGCTCAAGTCGGGCTGCTGGGCGAAAAGCAGTAGGGAGTGGGCGGCGGTACTTTAATGGGGATGGGAGAGAGAAGCCAGCCAGCGTTTGTGTGCATTTTTGATTTTGGACAGACGCTAACGCCACGCACAGACCAGCGGCCGAGGATGCCAGCCTTGTCGGGAGGGGCGCGTGGGAGGCTTTCCTTTGCGCCGTCGAATCGTCGTATTATTCATGCTGTGTCTAGTATACCCCTTGTGTTCTAGTATGGGCTAGCATGCCTTACTTGGCTATGTAAGTATGTGGGCAACCCAAAGAAGCGCGCGCCTGTTGGAATATCATGGTTGTGCCTTGCTGGTGTCCATGGAGCCCCCCATCTTTGATGCTTTTCTTCCCCTCTATTATTATTATTAATAATAACAGACAATTCCTCTTCTACCAGCCATCTCCAATAGTTATTCAGGCCCTCTTTTTTTTTCCTTCTAGGGTCTTCGGGATACCTACATAGCAAGTGGGGTCGACATCAAGTCTATCGCGTGAGCATGCTCCGTGGAATACTTACTAGTACAGTACTACATTCCCAGTGTTCTGGCAGCGCAGTAAATCTGCTACCGCCCTATGATTCTACCTCGCCAGCAAAGGGATCAATGCGGCTACCGACGACGTATGGTAACAGCTACATTATTAGTTTTCCAATACCTATAGGTTTTCCTGCTCTAGACACTGCGTGCAGACACTCTTGACACTACACTGTCTCAGTTGTCAGGGGGCTTGTGCCAGAAGAGACGGAAGCTCTAGCAGCGCCAAGCCCCGACTACTCCAACGACTACCATGCTACATCCACCACCACCATCACCTGTTCGTGTCGGATTGAATCATTTAGTGCGTCTACTGCCCTTGCATTGCTCCTACTTGCCACATCGCCATGTGGGGCTTGGATAGGCTCTCTCAGTACTCGACACCTACCGGCACGCCGCCTCCACGTCGCGACTCCCGTTCACCAGCTCCCCGAAGAGGCTATCCAGTCTCGGCCCAGCCCGTGAGGCCTGGCCTAACCCCGCGCTCCTCCTCGCTGACACAGCTCGTATCTCCTAATACCTCCACCACAAGCCTGCCGCTATCTGAGCGCCTACCCAATGGCGGACTACGCAGGCGACAGACAGGCGGTGCGCCGCCAAACGTCCCCGATCCTATACACGTACTCGAGGCTATAATGGGAGGGCCACCACGCAATGGGCCGACAACAAACGGACATGGTGTCGGAGATATGCTCGAGAAGCCGGAGCAGTTGGACGAGCATGTTGATTTCCAGGGCCTGAGCCTGCAAGACTTCGTCGCTGACAAGCCTGCTGAGCGACAGCCGCCCACTTCTGTACATACATATAGCGCACAGTCAGTTGAAGAATGTACGTGCTGTTGTTCTGCATCGCAAGTCTTTGCTCATTGTACCTCCAGATGACAAGGACAAGGACACGTTTGAGGACCTACACAAGTCCATATTGGCATGCGATGAAGTGCTCAAGTCGGTCGAAGCCAACCTTACAAATTTCCAGTCTGATCTCGAAGCCGTATCTGCAGAGATAGAGTCTCTCCAGAACCGATCGATTGCCCTCAATACGAAGTTGGAAAATCGCAAGGTGGTCGAGAAGCTGTTGGGTCCCGCTGTAGAAGACATCAGCATCTCTCCAGCTGTTGTGCGCAAGATCGCTGAAGGGCCTGTTGATGAGGGCTTTGTGAGTGCCCTTGCAGAAGTCGAAAAACGCTCCAAGACGATCCGTGACAAAGCCCAAGAGAATCCAGACTTGATGGCTGTCAAGGACGTCAAACCTTTGCTAGACGATCTCATCCATCGCGCCGTCGAGCGAGTACGAGACTACATAGTGGCGCAGATCAAGGCTGTCCGCTCCCCATCTATAAATGCACAAGTCATTCAGCAGCAGGCATTCTTGAAATTCAAAGACCTATACGCATTCCTCGCAAGACACCACGCAGAGCTCGCGCAGCAGATTGCCCAGGCATACATCCACACAATGCGCTGGTACTATCTCAATCATTTCACACGCTATAGAACAGCACTTGAGAAGATCAAAGTACATGCTATGGACAGATACGACATCTTAGGCGAAGACCCAAGCGCTAGGAGAAGCGGCACGCTGCTCGGTCAATCGCGGAACGCACCCACATCCTATGACGCCTTTTCACTTGGACGACGACGTGACGCGTTGAAAAGCTCCTCAGCCAATGCTCTACCAGCAAACGTTGCTGAAGACGAAAAGTCACCCCACTATCTTGAAGTCCCCTTCCGCAGCTTCAATCTTGCCCTCATCGACAACGCCTGCTTCGAGTACACCTTTGTCTCCGCATACTTTGCTCCTGCACAAAACTTCCACGCCATCTCGAGGACCTTTAATTCCATCTTTGATCCCACACTCGCAGTAGGACAGGCAGTCACGAAGTCGCTCGTAGAATCAACCACCGACACCCTTGGTATCCTCCTCTGCGTGCGCCTCAACCAGCACTTCGCCTTTGAGCTCCAGCGGAGAAAAGTGCCAACAGTCGAGGGCTACATCAACGCAACGAACATGTTGCTCTGGCCGCGTTTCCAGCAGGTCTTCGACATGCACTGCACTTCGCTCCAAAAAATCACCGCCTCGCTACCCGGTCGCCCCTCCACAGGCGCAGCTCTGCTATCCTCCGGCTCCTCTAGCGCGGCTTCCACAGCGCCGACGCCCCTCACGCAAAAGTTTGCAAACCTACTGCAAGGTATACTGGCGCTCTCGTCAGAGGCAGGCGATGACGAGCCCGTCAGCGTATCTGTGGGACGACTGAGGAGCGAATACGAAGCTTACCTCAGTAAGCTAAGCAAAGGGATCAGCGATGCTAGGAAGAAGGACAGGTTCCTCTGCAACAACTACAGTCTGGTGTGTACCATACTTGCGGATGTGGAGGGCAAGCTTGGGGAGGAGACGAGGGAGCGGTTTGAGAAGCTTAGGGATTCTTTTGATAAGTGAATCCACATTATGCAATGGATGATGATATAAGCAGTCTTATCTGACGCTGCACAATTCGAATAGAAGCAGTGACATGTCTGTGATTTGGTAAAAGTGTATTGGTGATATGGTGGTCTCTACTTGGTTTTTTTTCTAGGCTCCTGTCCACACAATAGCGTGACAATGCGTCGTCGCTATGCAACCATTTCGATCTATATATTTACTCCAATCATCCTTCCCTCGTTTTTACTTTTGTTTTCCTGCCAAACTTAAGCCTTCAGGGGGGCCCAGTCCTTGACGGACTGCTCCGACATGAAGCCACCAATGTATGTAGTCTTGCCTAAGTTGAAACCCTTGCTCCTCAGCAACATGTACATGGCGTTGAGGTGGAAGAAGCTGTTGGGGATGGCAAAGTCGTTTGTGAAGCTCGTCAGAGTGCTCATGTGTAGTGTCTTGGGGCCGACTTCGACATCGAAGTCCTTGTCGGTGCTCTCGTTGTACGCCTTTGCGTCAACGGCCTCAAGGAGGGCGAGGAGCTGCTTGAAGAAGTTGATGACGTCGTCGAGCGAGGAGAAGGAAGAAGGGTCCAGGTTTGGTCCCGTAGCGGACTCGGCGGCGAGCTTGAGGCTCTGGATTCCTGCGAGTTGGAACTTGGCGAGGATGATGGGCTGCATGCGGAAAGGCAGCATGTCGCCGAGCTGGGCGTTGAGCACATCGCTCTCAGATGGCAGGTTGGAGTTTTCCTTTGAGAGCTCCTCTTTGGCGGCGGTGAGGAAGCTAATGGCGCTCTTGGAGATGCCACGCATCACTGGGACGGTGGCGTCGTAGAAAGTGAGAGAAGCAGACATTGTGAAGGCGTAGAGAGATATCTAGTGTGGATGTGATGAAGAGAGAGAGAACAATTGGGGAGAGAAGATGGTAGAAGAGGAACAGCGGTGACTATATCTACAAACCTTCTCAGAAGAGATCTCCCCACCGCCCGCTAATGCATTCTGCGACGCAATGATCCACCGTTTGTTTTTATCTCCGCAACCCGACGCGCTAAAGTGTTACCGTGATACTCGGCCTTGAGTCGTCCGCGCGATGAGCTGTTACATGAGGGTCTTGCCGAAGCATCGGCAGCCATTGGACCAAGGCTATTTGTCCAGGGGCGGAATAAGATTCAGCAGTACTAGAAATGTCTAGAAGCGTATCAGGTGACATTGATGTCGATTCGTGTCACTATCTCGGAAAGTTGGCAGAGCGCTTTGTGTACAGTGTACTGTGTAACCGTGGTGGAGGGGCGCGATGCGAGTGGACATTCCCGCCCACCAGGCCAGGCCCTGCCAGTGGCACGGACCGAAGAAATCGACAACTTGCCACCCGGACATTTCGGCCTTAACGCAGAGGCGATGGCCACCTCCCTGCTACAGGCTCGACAGAATCGATCTTGTTTGCAGTAATCTACACTGATCTCAGACTCTTCCAAGTTTCCACTTTCAGTATACAGAATGGCGAAGCGCAAGCGGACCACGGCGCACTCCAATGCCGTCAAGAAACAGGCAAATGGCATTCCCAGCCCACCCCACGAGGCAAGCCCACTTGAGCCAGCTTCTGTTCATTCGGTCATCTCGCCAGAGGAAATTGAAGTTGCGGTGGATACCCTTCGGTCGCTTGCCGAGCATCCTCTCCTGATCAAGTCAAAAGCATGCAGAGATCTGAGGACTGCTGTATTTGACTTTCGTCAAGCATGCACCACTGGCTTAAACTCAGCTGGTACGTCCAAGATGGCTCGCTCCAATGGTACTAAAGGCTAAGCGACACCATAGACGGCAGTAATCTCACTGCGCGTATATCTGGGGCGCTTACAGACTCCAAGTACAGAGATGCTCTCATCTTGCTGGCCGAGATGCGCATCAGGAAAGAGACCCCAACACTGGGTGCTCTCTGCCGCTGGGTGCGCACTTTGGATGTTGTATCTGGACTCAGCATTCACGTGCAAGTGCCGAATCACAGAGTCGTAGGCGCCAATGCTGACAACGACCAACTCATCCAAGTGCTCGACTCCATACTCCGAGTCACTGGCCCAACAGACGTGACAACTAACGGTGCAGACGCATCTGCAGGTATCTCGCTACAAGAAACATGGGACTTGCGAAGCACCAGCAAGCCCACACGCCATATACGGAGTAGCGTTGAAGACAAGTCCATCTTCACCTCATGTCCTTCAGACCTCAAACAGCGCTTCCGCATCATCGAGACTACTGAGGGACTTCAGCGCAAACCACCTAATCTCCACCCTGCCATTCTGTACGCCTCGCAAGACGATACAGTGCTGCTAGGCACAGGGCCCGAGACGGAATGCTTCAAGCACCCCATTGTACCCAACCTCCGTTTAATCAAGGATGTGCTCTCTCCAGACGAATGCTCTACCATTATCGCCGCAGGAGAGACAATGGAGTTCATACCTGATGCACCCATGCGCCCACAAGGCGAAGATACCAGTGTGCTAGCCCACAACTTTTACTGGATCGTCGACCAAGCCTTCCACGACAAGCTCTGGGATAGAGTAAAGGCGTTTGTCCCAGAGAGCGTAGCAGGCAAGAAGGTCCGAGGAATTAATCGTCGCTTCAGGGTATACCGATATGTGCCTGGTGCAGAGTATCGCTGTCATATCGGTACGTCCAGTTGTAACTTCCCCAAGTTTCTGAAATGCTTTACTAATTGTTCCTTCCGCTGTTCAGATGGTGCATGGCCGCCCTCAGGCATCGACCCCGTCACAGACAAATACCAATACGATGCCTCGCCGCCCAATGCCCGCCAGTCCTCCCTCTTCACCTTTCTCATCTACCTCAACGACGAGTTCAAGGGCGGCGAAACTACGTTCTTCATACCAAGTGTGAAAGAGGGCGTTATCAATGCTTACCCGGTTAAACCTATCATGGGTAGCGTTGCTGTCTTCCCACATGGCGAGGCTCAGGGCGCACTATTACATGAGGGTACGGGTGTGGTCGAGGGCGCAAAGTACGTCATCAGGACTGATGTCGAATACGATGTCGATGCTACTATATAAAGTGTTGTTTTGTTACTGGATACATTATGTACCCGTTTGTCGTATTTCAAATCTGAGCCGGATACGAATTTGTCTCTTTGCTTTGTCCACAAGGACACTTACCAAGTATTATCTTGCAATCACTCAAAAGGACCCAAAACTGGATTTTCAACTTTTCCATTAATTTTTTTTTTAAAAAAAACCCCCATGTACCTAAGAACCCTTCTCTGCAAACTCTCTCGAGTAAAAAAAATAAAGTAAAGAAATCAAGGCGATCGCAAGAAAAAACACAGCGTGTTCAAAGGAAAAAAAATTAGAATTAAAATATCAATACCACAAAAATGATTTCCCATGATGTTATTCTAAAAAAAACACGAAGCAGAAGGAAGAAACAGCAAAAAAAAAGAAGAAGAAGAAAAAGAACGGAAAGTGAGACCTTGCGACAACTAACCAGAGTTGACACAACTTACTTTTTTTCCCCTTCTCTTTCTCTCTCCAAGTAACGCCTGTTTACCGGGAAGAAAGAAAAGAAGAAGAAGAAGAAGAAGAAGAAGAAGAGGAGGAGGAGGAGGAGGAGGAGGAGGAAGGCAAAGGCGAAAGAAAGGACAGTCGGAAAAGAAAAGAAGAGTAAACCCAACGATGCCCCCTCCTCACACCTTCTCTTTCCTTTCCGAGCCTAGAGTTTCCCCCTAATTCCCAATCCCATCATGAACCACCCGACACGTGAGAGACGGAGAGGGAAGACAAAGAATCAACCACTCAAAGTTCAAGATTTCTACTTTAAGAGAGAGAGAGAGAAAAAAGCGCGTGTCCCAAGTGTCCGTCCCAAACACCCACCCCACCCCCGTCCATGCACCGCTCAAAAGCTCACTCCCCCCCAAACCCTATATATCCCCTTGAGCAAAAAAAGTGGAGGAGAAGTTTAAAAAAATCCTCCTTTCAACTAATAAACGCGGGGTGAAGGCCATGAAAGAAAAGAAAAAGACCAAGCCTGCTTTTCCCCTTCATACGGAAGAAAGAAAAAAAAGGGAGAACAAGAAGAAGAACAGTAATTCCAACCGCCGTGCCTTTACGTCCTGCTCTTCTTAGCGAGGTAGTAAGTGAGCAAGTTGAGATGCTGTTCTCTTGCCCCAGCAACGACTTTCCAGAACCCGCCGTCTTCCTTCGCAGCATCTGAGCCATTGATGCGCTGGTGGAGGGCAACGCAGAATTCAATGTCTGCTTTGCGGACATCGGCGTCTTGGTCGTCCATGCAGCGGACGGCTAGTCTACCGAGGCGAGCGGTTTGTTCGGGTGACAGGGCGAGGTTCTTTTCGCCGCTGATCTGGACGAGCGATGCGAGCGTGGTGAGCGACATGGTTAATGTGCGGGTGGGTGCTTGACCGGGGACCGAGCAGACTGAGGACTTGGAATTTGGTGAGGATGATGGGGTTGAGGCGGACAAGTCTTCGATGAGGGAAAGGACAGTTTCGAGGCAGTCGAGTGTGTGGCCATACTTGACAATCTCGTCTGCGGTTACCTCGAGATCCATGGCCATGTGCGAAGTGTTCTCGTACTGTGCTTTTGTCTGTAGAATAGTTCGAAGCACACGGGCAGAGTATCGGGCTGTCTCCTTGCGGTATAAAGAGAGCAACGCACGGATCGTCGCTAGCGCCTGTACCTTCAAATTGACAGCCTTTATCTGGGGCGTCTTCAACTCATGAACTGGTGCCTCGAGGAAGTCGAGACAAGCTACGAGTAGCTTGCCAAAGTTTTCGTCATTGGGTCCCCAAATTTCCTGATTCGACTTGACCATGTCCTGCATGCGTCGAAACATATGGGCTTCTACTGTGCGACCTTCGATCTTCCTGATACCACTCGCCAGCAGCTGTCGGTTCTTAAGCACTTCAGCATTGGCTGTGTCGTAGCTCTCTGTCTGCAAAATGCTTCCCGTACTGTTCGTCTTGTGGTGACCGCGTGGGCGTTCGTCATTGTCATTCCCCATCATGATGCCACTCGATACGCTTCCGCTACTGTGTCGACGTTCGTTGCTCTTCTCATTAATGGGTAGCTCCTCGAGGACAAGTTTTTCTGGTTCCTTCGCCATGCGCGCCGGCTCCTCGCCAACAAATGGATCTTCATACACCCGGACCGCATCTCCAGCGTCGGTCCCTCGAGTACCCGGTCGATCTGGTGTTCTCGTACTTAGACTTCGTGTCGATGAGCGCAAGCTGGCAGCCTCGAGGTGGCCCATAGACTTTGGGCTCCTTAGCATTGATGCACGGGGGCTCGGCACTGGCAGTCGGCCTGCGGAAACCCTAGGCTTCGGTGGTGTGCGTTGCGTGGGCTGTGCTGCAGGTTTCGCTAGATCTGGAATGACCATTGTGAAGTTGTCATCATCGCCCAAGTCAATCGCCTCGTTGTCTATAGCTGCACTTCCACCAAGTCCATTCCTGTGCCGGAATGGGATAGTGCCTGAGTCGTGATGGCTTTGCGACCTTACCCACGGCTTTCTCGTGGTCGATTCTCCGTCCTTCGCAGGGCTCGCAGCCGGACTTGCATGTCGTGAGCCTCCACTAAGAGTTTTGCTGTGTGCAACAGGTTGACCAATTCTTGATTTGGGACGAGCGGGGCTGACAGTTGGGCTGTTGTGAGTCTGCGATCGCGGCCGGGCAGTACTTTTCGATGTAGCTGACTTCTTTACAGTCGATGTAGCTGGCGTCTTTTCTGGCGTCATGTTAGGAGTTGACTTGCCTGGTCGCCGAACAGCGTATGGGTCGGCTGTCGCCGGTCTGTTCAGCTCAGGTCGAGGAGGGCGAATTGGACGGCGTACTGTCCCTGACATCAGCGAGCCAGTACCCGTAGAGTTCTTCAGCGCTGATTTCGTCGACTCGCCGGACATGGCTGAAGGAGGTCGTGCTGGCCCAGAAGATGGTGCAGAAAGGTTGGAAATCGTCCTTGCAGTTGTTGGTTTGCTAGGTTGCGGTTTTGCTGGTGCGGCATAAGTTGCAGCAGCAGAGTTGGGTCGCTCGGGCATGTTCTTTGCGGCAGCTAATTTGGCTCTTCTCTGCTCAGCAATCTTCTCTTTCAGAGCACTTCGCGAAGTACCGGGACCGACAGATTTCGAAAAGGATGCTGAGCTGGTCTGTGAAGAGGCGAGTGAACTATTTGGATTGTTGGGGTCCTTCTCAAGAGCGCTCCTTTCGCGCTTCTCGAATGTGTCAAGCATCTTCTCGGCCCTCTGAGGCCATACCAAGGCAAATGTCCAATATGCGCTTCGATAAGCCTCGCGCACCTTAGGGTTAGCGTCAGTGACTCCCTTTTTGATTATAGTGTCCAATGTATCCATTCCGCCAGAATGCTCAATGTGCGATGTGTGCCTCCGAATTAAGGTCTTGATCCATGTGGCAGAAAACGTTCTTGGCTGAACGTTCTTGTCCTGTGATGCGAAAAGAACATGTTGGAGCAGACGACTGCTGTATGAGACGTTTTGGAAAATGGTATCCACCGTGACGTTTCCGTTCTGCGCAGCGATGTTCTTGGTGGCAGCACACATCTTCACGAAACACTGCAACAGAATCTCGGACCAGGGATCAATGGCGGAGCCAAGCGTCTTGGCAAGCTCTTGAACCAGCAGGCAGCCATTGGTTGACATTGTCGTTCGGAGTGAGTTTGCAACTTTGAGGATGCCATCAAGAAGTGATTTGATACCAGCAACAAAAACTCCGTGGAATTCGTGCGGCGCGTTACCCTTCAGAATGCGCCTCAGCTTGGTACAATTCTTGTCTCGCGCTAACCAGTTGGCCTCGCTTTCTTTTCCCTCGTACCAAGGCGCCATGTCGCGGAAGATGTCGTCCAGCTCGCGCTGTGTATAGATGTGAATAGGGTCCATAACGACGACTTCGGCAGGCGGCGGTAGTTCGGACGCATAGCTGTCTGCTAAACCCACGTCAGGTTGCAATTGCTCCGCTCGCTTCGCAGAAATACTGCGTGAAAATGAAGCCGGTTGGGGTGGGAGTTGTGTTTGTTGCGGTGGTGGCTGTGGCGCTACGTCTGCATCCTTTGTCATTGCGGCGTCGTCGAGGTGTGTTGTGATGTAGCTGGCGATGGCTTTCCGGACGTTCATAGCAACGAGCTGCTTCTTCAAATTCGCTTTGGCGTGTTCTGGTGCATATCTGTCGATCTATCAGTCATGTTCCGCAAGCCATTGCTACCAACCCAACCGCACATACCCAAAGAGGTCGACAACGGCCTTCTTGGCCGTGTCGCGCACGCCAGCATCAGCATCTTCGAGATTTGCGACGAGCTGGTTCGAGTAGCTCTTAAAGGGCAAGCCTTCGGTCTTGTTCATCTGTTGTCACGATAACATTAGACTTGTCATTCTGGAGGCCATGCGCGTCGGCCGCAAAGAAAGCCCACCTTTACTACCCAGGCCATGGACGCCTCCTTGGCGCGCGGGTTGGTGCTCTTGACGGCATCGTGGATGAGCGCATCGATCTCTGCAGAAAACAGGTAGTGCAGATCAGCGAGGATTTGCGAGGCGGCAATGCGATGGCTCTCGCGCGCATCGCCCAGCTTGTCGGCGAGAATGGAGCATAGGACCGAGGATTGCGAGGTGAGAATGTGTGTGTCCTTTTGTAGCTGCAGTCGCTTGATGAAGTGGCTCAGTGTCGAGAAGCCTGTCGAGACGAGGGCGGCGGAGGTGGCGGCGGTACAGGCGATGCGGATGCACTCGAAGATTGGGGCCTGGCAGTTCTCAGGGACTCTGTTGTGTTTGATGCTCGACTTGAGGGTGTTGAAGAGCGCTAGACGGGACTGGACATCTGTCGAGGGCTTCTGGAGGGCCTTGAGCAGATCCGACGTCTCTTTCTCCATGGTGGGCACAAAAAGGGCCCGTTGGGAGAGATTGATCCTATACTGTTAGAGGCGGGGGTTGAATGTGTTGTGAGCGTTGTTTATGGCCCGCACGGTACTGCCGTAGTTGCGTTCGCGCTAAGCCAGTCGCTCAGCAACCCGTGCGCCCTCCTAATGCACAACCCTGGCGCCTCCAGCGCCCCTCCCCCCATGGCCGATCCACCCTTGGAATCTTCGAGATAGACAATGGGCCTTTTACTTGACCTGTTCAAGCCACTCTCCACGTGTGCTTGCTCTTGCGCATCACATCTCCAACGAAAACAGCCCACGCCGATCAGAGTCTTCAATCCCGCGGGCTTGCCACGTCAGACCGAGAAAGCCATTACAGGAAACATCCATGTTACGAATCCAGTCAAGCGTGCGGCCTTTAACGTCACATTCCTTTGTTATTTATCAACAATATCAACAATGCCCACGGCTACACATGACATTTGACGAGCCAATGGCTTTTATCCTCTCTCCCCGAGACTAGCAGCCTGCATCGGGCTCATTCAACAACAACAAGCCCTTCTAAGACTCGAGGTTCTGAGCCTGCCTCGCCTCCCACACACTGATGGCCTCTTCAGCAGCCTTGACTCCGCTAAGAGCCATGGCACCAAAGGTAGGGCCCATCCGATTGGCGCCATCAACCTCACTCAACTCCATGCCACCAACAATTAGGCCAGGCACAATCTCACGGGTGCGCTTGACAATGGCATCCTCGGCGGTGCGCATATCCAATCCGCGCATGCCGCCAAGCTTCTCGAGTTGCTGCATCGAGACAAGGCGCTTGACGGAGAAGGCACCAAAGGGGCCGTCGTGACCCGTCGTAGAAATAACAAGTGGGGCGTTGATGGTATTGGGATCCATGCAAGACTGGTCTATATAGATATTTGTCAGTGTAGGTTGCGGCGAGAGAAAAGCTCAACGTACCGTCGTGATGCATAGAGACAAGCGTCCAGTTGGTGACTACACCAGCAATGCGAACTGCATTGGGGTCATTGGCGGTAGGTGCGGGACGAGTGATGAGATCCTCAACAGTCGTAGCATTGAATAGCTTGACATTGGGAAACTGCAGAACCTTGGACAACAAGGTGGACGTGAAGAGCGCAGCGTGCTTGACCACGACAAAGTCACCCTCGTCCTCGTATGGCACACCAAGCTCATTCAAGAAGAGCTCAGCAGGCTTGCGCATGACCATGGCACTGAAGAGCTGGCCACCAAGCCAAGCTCCTCCACCAGGAGCAACGCCAGCCTCGACAATGGCAATCTTGAGATCGGGGCGCTTGGTGGCGAGCGTGAAGGCAGTGGAGAGACCACATGAGCCAGCACCAACAATGACCACGTCGGACTCGGCATAGGTGTCGAGGTCATTGAAGTAGCGGCGAGTCATGGCACGAGAGACTTGCGACTCGCGGATGGGGGCAAAGGTGAATTTGTCCCAGTTGTTCTCCAAGTCAGCAACAGTCTTGGCCTGGCCGCCAGCAACAACAGAAGCGTCCTTGACGGCAAGGTCCTTCTTTAGACTCAGGTCTTTGGCAATGCCGTTCCCATCAACGGCAGTGGGCCTTTCGTACATGGCAGCGGGAGGAGACATGATGGAAGGTGTTCAGGGGTCGAAACCTGCAGTCAGTTAGGTCTGTTCTACAGGGGTAGAGACAGAGCAGAGCAGTGCATGATCCTTTACGCAGGTATTATCCTGATCAAGTTCGAAACCGTATAATCTCAGAACGAATCCAGCCATGTCCAGCTTGAAACCAGAGTGGAGATGCACAGCAGTACTCAAGATGGACATGGCTAGAGACGAACACCGGTTCATGCAGTATACTTAGCTGTAGAAAGTACCTAGGTGACTTGAGGACAAGACGCGCGTGCGGAGCACAGTCTGCACCGTGGCAGCCATACTTGAGGTTCGAGTATCTAGATGGTGGTCAGCTCTGACTGAAGGGCATAGGCTGGAGCAGGTGAATGAGTACGAATGATGAATTGGATGCAATTGAATTCGGACTCCACAGAGGGCTCGAGGCGTTGAAAGAGGAAGAGAAGAAGAGGAAGGGTGGATTGAACAGGTGGTTAAATATTTCAAGAACCCCACCTAGCCATGCACGAATATCCTTCATCAACCGTTGGGGCGGGGTAATCGCTCTGGCTTTGGCTGTGCGGGTTGTGTAATGCGTCAGACCCCACTGTACTTGCCGTTTTGGGAGGATTGAGTGAGCACCGCGGACGATGTGATTTGTGAAGAGAGCATGCCGTGGCCGGACGTTTGCGCTAAAGATTCAACATTGGACACAACTCTGAGCAAAGAGCAAACGATTGATGGAAGGAACAGCCGGGCCATGGCACGACGATGTTAGTGCCCCACGTGTTGATACCGTTTTGGACATGCGCATGCCGCTTGTAACTTTATGCGAATAGTAGATTGAGAACGGAGACGCATGCCAGTAGAGTTTCGAAATAGAATCTGGATGATGGCAGCAATAGCGGCAGCATGGAGACGGAAATTGGGTCACCATGCCTGTTGTAGTGACAATAATAGACATATTTCCTTATTAGGAAAGACCATTTGCAACCTCTTGTTTGGACTCGCACTCCATCAGCAGGGGCTCAAGAGCAGTATTTTGGGTACACTGTGACATCAAACTTCAAATGTTCGTCAGACATGGGTTAGCAACGGGAATGCATTCGATCCTTGGAAGGTTGGCCGAAGCCTCTCGTGGGGTGGGACAGTCAAGAGAAGTAGTGATACAATGTGTGTGTGCTTGGAAGGCCCGTCAGCCTGGCATTAACTGACAAGGGCCAGATCTGTGAGTCGATCAGCCCCTACGTCACGATCAAGAGGGAAGATCAGTCATCCACAATCTGGGGCTGATGAATAAGGTTTAGTAATTACCACAGGCCTGGCTTTTGACATCGATCAAGAATGCGTGGGGCAGGGGTAAGGCAGAGAGACATGAGGTGAGAATTGAGCGCCATGACTAGTCGAGGCTAGCAACAAACGCGAATGCGACTACCAGGACAAGGGCAGGCAAGCATCCATGATGGATGTTCAAACAGGCTGGGTGTTGGGTAGCGTGCGACTGAGACAGCAGTGCGGCAACGGGGTCCAGAGGCATGGTATGCGGGCCTTGTGCGTGTGCGTGTGCGTGTGTGACAGTGTGCTTGGTGGTGCCAGGTGGGAGAGGGATGTTGTTGGCTGAGCGCAAATCGCGGTCTGAAGCTGACTCTTGGGACAGGGCAGATCAGCAGGGACCGTTCGGCTGGATGAAACGTGTCCGTGTTGGTGTCGTTATTCCCGTTTGTTTCAGGATCCGGGAAGCGCGCAAATGAGCGAGTGCCGACAGGGCAAATAATTTCCGCAGATAATAGCGCAACGTTGCAAGAACAGCAGTCAAGATGGGCCTGATGTTGAGGCTGTGTGAGGGCCTTGGGTGGGTTTGGGCAGGGTGTGGTGGGGTGGAAGGGTGCGGATGCAAGTGGTACAAGGGTGGATAATATGGGTCCTTCAATCTCGTGAGGTTACCATGATTCTGCGTCGGGTGGGTGCACTTTGGCAGCCAGACAGGCAGCCCGGCGCTGAAACGAGCGGATGGTACAAACAGCTCTACTGTGTGCATGGTAGCACTGGGCCATTGGGCATCTGGTGGTTGGGTTGAAGAGACAGATGGGTACCTGCATCATGGCATGCTAGACAGAGACACAGACGCAGACATGGAAACATAGAGCAACGTACTTGGGGTGACAGACAGGTACGTATGACGAGGCTGGAAGGGCAGGAGGCTGGGAGGAAGCAATGGGCGGTGATTAGCAATGACGATGCTTGTTCGAGGCCCTGTTCGACTCGTGATGCTGATGGCCCACGGCTGCGCTGTGCTCGATGTTGGTGTTCTGTGCTGTGCAGTGCAGTGCAGTGCAGTGCTGTCCTTTGACAGGAGCATGACGGCACTGTTCATGTTGGCCGCCACCCGACCGCAGCGGCTGATTATACTACGTATTCATATATGTATATGTGTGTACCTTGGAGTCCAGTGGGGGTGCGTGTGTATGGAGTCTAATATGTCGAGAATAGACGGTGTGAGAGCGGTTGCAATTTAGGCGGGACGACATGGCATTGGCGCAGGTTACGAGAGGCGAAGGAGCAGACGATCTGCGATGGCGTGTGTCTTGGCAGGGCCTCCACGCCTTTACGCCCTCATAGTGCTCTGCTAGCGTAGCGTGAAGCAATGTACGCAGTCCGTGATGAGAAATGCCCGTCTAGCACTCGCCTAGCACTCGCCTAGCACTCGCTGTCGCTGTCGCTGTCGCTGTCTGTGTCTGCTAGGGGAAAGAGGGGAGAAGGCAGACACAGCAGACAGCGCAGACAGCGCAGACAGCCCATACCCAACTGTCACAGCCACACCTCATGGCAGCCACATATCGCAGCCACAGCCACAGCCACAGCCGCAGCCAGCGTCCAGCAGCTGGACATCAACCACCAGCTGTCCTTTACCATGTCTGCACAAGATGATGCGGGCTCCCGAGGGCCGGTGTGCAGGACATATGCAGAGGATAGCGTGCAGCTGGACACTGCGGCACTGCGGGCATGGATTCTGCCGCGTATCTCTCTCTCCTAGACCCTGTCCAGGTCAGGGCGCACCGGCGGTCGAGGCTGGTCCCGCTCATTGGCTCTGCCTCTGGCCCAGGGCCTCCCTCCACACACACATAGCACGCCAGAGGGGACGGATGTGCAGCTGTCGTCGAATACCCTCGTCGCGCACAGAGGCCGTTCACTCGCTGCCCACACCCACTCGCCCTGTCTGTGACCCTGCCGTTGTCGCCGCCGCTGCCGACGCCGCCGCCGCGCATTCTGCGACGCTGCCCACGACCAACCTGACAACGCTCTTGGGGGGGGCGGCCACCGATCGACCGACCGCCCACTCGACTGCACCACCTCCTACGCCCACCACCACGCCTACGCCTACGCCTACGCCTGGTGCTGGCTG